TACCCAGAGTTTGCTGGGATGTGACTGTCTTCCAGCAGAAGCTGGCCCCGTGGCCTGAAACACACACCATGGACACCATGTCCGCTCTGGGTCCCTGATGGTTCCCGGGCGAGCAGACTGGTTGGCATTTACTCTGCGCCTACTAGCCATACTTCCCACGCGTTAGGTCTGATCTCACGTCCCTGTGATGCAGCTATCTCTGGTTCCCCACTTAGAGATGGGGACAGGTGGGCTCAGGGACAGTACATTGCTGGCCCAAGGTAGGTGGTTTGGAAATGGCAGGGCCATGAGATCTATTTAGCAGCGTGTATGTAGCGCCCTCTGCACCTAACTGTTCTGGGACCAAGCTCAAGGGATCTAGGAGGAGGGATGCAGTGAATATGTGGGGCCACAGAATTTGAACTCAAACCCCACTGCACAGAACCCAGGCCAGCCAGCCCACCATGACCTTGAGCCAAGGGAACGAGCCCCACTCACACCCACTGTAGTGCCCGCTGTGACCACCAGATGGCGGCAGTGGGCTGCAAGTCAAACTGTCCTTAGCGACCAAGAGGTCCCCTTGGGTCATTCTTCTAGAATGGGGTGGCAGTACCTGGCTAGCTAAGTAGATGAAGGGAAAGGGGCATGTGTGAATATTTTTAGGCATTTCACAGTGTGAAACAATGGCCAGGGTGTAGAGAATCACAGAGAAACATCAAATCAGAGACCAGGGCAAGGGGTGGGCAGTCAGGAAGGGCTTCCCCATGTCCACGTGCAGGTGAACAAGCAAGATCCTAAGCCGCGACCTCCCAGCTCGCAGGCCCGCTGCCCCCACGGGCAACAAGAGTCCCTCCCCTGGCGTAGGCCCGAATCATGGTGCTGGAGTCGGCTGGTGTGTTGCGCTCTGGGCAGAAGAGGATCGCATGGCACTTGGGGCCGAAAGAGCCCAAGCTGATGGTCAAGAGGCTGAGCACAGTGACCAAGAGGTCCAGGATGGTGACCAGCACCCCCTTGTAGCCAGACGAGGGTGACAGAGGAGCTGTAGTAGGTCACGCAGAAGGTGGCGGACTGGGCCTGCTGCCGTGGGGGCCGCTCCTTGCCAGGGAGGCGAAGCTGAAGCCCGCTACAGAGAGCAGCAGGTGCAGGCTGGCGCAACCCGCAGCTGCTCGCAGTAGCTGTGGCTGCAGGGGGGGTCTTGGGGTCCTTAGGGACAGTGCAGGCTAGTTCTGGGGGTCGCAGTCAGCATGTTGCCCACCACGACAGTCATCTCGAGTGCTTGAAGACACAGCCGTGCAAGCAGACCCAGTGGCCGTAGGTGCGGGGCAGGCCTTGCATCTCGAAGATGCAGGTGATCTGGAATGAGCCCACCGTGAGGAGGAGACGCGAGACGCGGAGGGTGAAGCGAGGGCGGACTCATCCCCAAGCACCCAGGGGCGCCAGGACACACCTTCGGGGCTGCACACAGAGCACCTGCCCAGTGGCCAATCGAACACGATTGCCACCCTGCCACCCTGGTGCTCCGGCCAGGTCCTCGTGCTCACACCTGTGTGACCAGTGGTTGCCATGGCGACAGAGATCCGTGACAGGCATATGCAAAGTGTGTGGTGAGGGAGAGCAGGAAGTGAGCCATGGAAATGGGGCGCCAGGAGGGGCTGCCCATGAGCTTCATGTCCTTGTCCCCCAGGGCCTCGCAGCAAGCAGTGGCTCATGCTTGCTTCAGGCTGAGGGCCTGCCCTGGACTTCCCACCCCTGCATGGCTGGGGGGCCCTGGAGCACAGGGGAGCCCCTCAGAGGAACCTCAGCAACGGGGGCGGCATCAGTTTCCTCTCCCAGCCTCCCTATCACTGCACAGCCCCCATCTGCCTCTCTGCCACCCTGCCCACTCCCCTGTGTCTCTGTCTCCCCTGGCTGCTTCCTGGGCGAGGCTGGGCGGCCGGAACCTGCTCCACCTGGCTTAAGCCAGCAGGGCCTCCCCAGGATGGCACGGGAGGGACCCCGCAGCCAGCCAGCTGGGTTGGGACCCCTGGAAAGGGTCGCCCTGGGCGAGTTCTCAAGGGCCCAGGCTCATCAGTCACCCTGCTGAGAGTTAGGAGCTAAAAATGGGGTGTTTGCTGCCACAGAGCCACCATGCCTGGCCACCCCCAGTGACCCTCTGAGTACCTGTGAGGGGTCGCGGCACTGGCGAGGCCAGCAGGCCCTCACTGAGCTGGTCTCTCTTCACCTCCCTGCATCCATTTTCTCATGGTAAAATGGAGCCCAGACACCAGCTCCTGTCTCAAGAAATGAGCGGGGCCCCTGGCCTGTGAGTAGGAGCTGCATGGTGCCGACTTGTCCTTCCTGGGCGCGGGGCTCTGGATGAGGGTGTGGATGGCGGGGCGCAGAAGAGTGAGTCCCGCTCTGGGCGTCTCCGTGCGGGCATGGGTCCGGCCTTCCGAGGAAGCCCTGCCTGTGGCGTGGAGGCCCAGCACAGGGGTGGGGCCGGGCCAGGCAGTGAGCTGAGATGAATGGGGGTGTGGGGAGTCCATGAACTTCCTCCAGTCCCAGCATCTCGGGCCAGCCTGGTGGCCAGGAGTGACACAGGCGGCCCCTTGCTTCCCCTGCGGGGATGCCCAACCCGCGGTGGGTGCGAGGCTCGGCCTCGGTCAGATGGTCTGTGCTCTGAGCTGGACCTGCGCTGGGTCCGGCCGCGACAGGGAGAGGGAGAGGCTCTCTGGGACACTGTTGCCACTGGGACTCGCATGGTGGTGCAGGGCAAGTGGAGGGGGGTCAGGCCTTTCACCCACCACCAGCCTCTGTGGCTGCGGCCGCCTTCCCTCCCAGGTCTCACTGCCACACGTGCAAAAGGCACTTGGCAGGGCGGGCACAGGGCGCGCTCAAATACCCGGGGCCCAGGGTGTGAGCTCAGCTGGTTACAGACACCCAGGCCAAGAGCCAGAGAGCCTGGGGCATGCACACCTGTAAGTCCAGACCCCAGCAGGGGCACCCGGAGATTAAGAACGAAGAGCTGGGAATCCCGGGGTCTGGGAGGCTCAGCTGCTGCCGACCTCCCCGCCTGTGTCCAGTCCCCCGCCTCAGCTAAAGGCTGTCAGGTCCTGAGAGCCAGGATCCTTTGTTTGCCAGAAGCAACAAGGAACCTGCCTCACCCCATGTGCCTGCGTTGCCCAAAAGGTGACCACACAATGAAGCTTTGCCCCCAACGGCCCCTGGACCTGAGGAGCCTCGTCCTCAGTCTGCGCATGAGAAAGGGCAGAGCCCCTCCCCTACCAGTGTTGAGGGAAGCAGGCAGGGGAGCCCCAGATGCCAGAGGCACCACCTGGGGCTCAGACCCCTGGGCAAGTCCACGCTGACTCCATCCCTCCTGCCACGGGAGGCAGGTCATGGCCAGCGGGTGGCCACCAGCAGGTCAGGCGCCGAGCCGGGCATCAGCCAGCTGGAACTCGGCCACCTGGGGCATCACCCTACTCACTGACAGTCCCCAGCCCACGCACCCCGCCCGCCGCCCGCCCCTCCTAGCTGGGGAGTCCGGCCCTCTGCACCCTGGGTGGTCGGCCCTGCATGAGCCAGCGTGGGTTGTGTCGGGTGGCATCTCCAACCCCTTCCCTCTCCTCCCCCAGCCCCATGGAGGGCCCCTGGAGAGGCTAAGGACCTCCCCTCTGGTGGTCAGTGTGGCTGACCCACATTCTGGCTCCGGCTAATGGGCCAGGGCCGCTCCCCTTCTCCTCTCGGCGCAGGGCAGGGTTCTGCAAGCCCAGTAAGGCTCGAGTGGGAGAGGGAGAACAGGTTTCAGGAATTGGACGGACCTGGGCTCACGCCCCGGCGGTACCACCCCTTGGCGAGTCCCCCCAGCTCTCTGCTCCCCATTGCCTCATAGAATGGTGGCCACGCAGCACCTACCGCACGAGGCTGCTGGCAGTGGCAGACTGCGGGACCTTCGCGGGTGTACCAGACGCGCAAAGGGTTCCCGAGAGACAGGTGTCCTGGGAGGAGCGGCTCGGAGCGCGCGCTGGTGCTTTGGTGAGCCCAGAACCTGCAGGGCAGGCTGGCAGGCAGGACCTGTGAAGGGGGTCTGTGTGCAGAGGGGCTGCTGGCCATTTTGCTCAGGAGGTCCTCTTGGCCCTGGTGAGGCCCGCAGTGGCTTTCTGAGGCCCACCTGCTTGACTCAAAGCCCCCTGCTGGAAATGTCACCCACACCCAGAAGTCAGCGGCGCAACCGTCCAGACTGAGCAGGCTCATGGCTGATTCCAGCAAATGGAAAGAGAATCTCGGAGCCCCTGATGGACCTGACAGGCCTCTTGTGCTGAAGCCGGGGCCCAGGTACGGGCCCACGAGCGGGCAGAGGTGGGCAGGTGGCAGCCGAGCCCCCAGCACCACCGGCTCTGCCCCCGTCCTCCTGTCTCCCCCTAGGGCTCGCTTGCTCCTCCTCTTGCCCTTTCTGGGGACCCCCCCCCCAGGGTCCGCTTACATATGCGCACGCCCCTGCTCTGGGCTTCCCAGCCAGGTGACTGTCATCATAGGTGCGCGAGGCCCTGCTCATGCTGCCAGGGTTTTGCGACACGTTATCACATGTGGGCAACGGGACCCAGGGGGAAAACAGGCCACCGGTGACAGCGCAGAAGCCAGAGCGGGCGGCGGGAAGAGCCTCCCTGGCTCACTTCCTTTATAGATCACCTTCACAAAGATCCAAAATGCCCCGGGCACACGGTCTGGCCAAGGGGAGATAAATCACCCACGGGGTACAGGGCCTGCTGGGGAATACCTGACTAACTTGCATCTGACATCTCAGCAGTTGTCATGACGACCTACAGGTGTCATCCCCCTCTTCCAGATGGGGACAGGAGGCTCTGAGAGGTGGTGTGATTTCTTGGAGCTCCCCAGGTGGGAGCCAGGAAGCCAGGACTTGAGCCGGTCTGACTGGCTGGAGTTCCCAGCACCTGCAACTGCCCAAAACCAGTGCCCACCCGCCCCCACCACTCAGGGCCTGCGTCCGACATCCAGTGCAGCACTGGGGGCACCATGGGTTTGACTGAACAACAGGCGTTTATTGGGTGGCGTCAGGTGAACCCCATCACCACCTTACAGTGTAGAACCAGGGCTCTTGTGGCTCCCCTGCCCCATCAGCTGCCCCACCCATCCTGGGCACAGCAGGACCCCAGAAGGGGGCAGAAGCCAGAGGCTGCTGGGTGGCACAGCGCTCTCCTGACCAAAGGGCACGGAGTGAAGCCTTAGCTTGAGGAGCAGACGGGCTAGCCCTGCAGGGACCCCATACCAGCCATTCTTAGGGTCTTGTCTTTCAAAGGCACCCCGATAGTCCCCTGGCCCCAGAAGCCAAGCTGGAGGGGCTCATCACTGCCCCCACTCGGCTGCTCAGGAGCGGGCCCAAAGGGGCACCCCGGCCAGGCTGCCAGGCCTGGCGAGCTCTCGGGGCTGGGAGCGGCCGGGAGCGGAGCTGCCCTGCCAGTGAGAAGGACCTGAGCTCCCGAAGCAAAGCACAGAGCAGCATGGCCGCCCCCGAGGCAGGAAGGGTGGGAGGTGACGGGGAAGTGAAGGTGGACCGAGGGCCACGAGCTCCCCAAACTCACGGCCCAGACAGGAAGGCGGCCACGCCCCGCACCCGCAGGTGGCCTCCAGCAGGCCCTCAGGCCCACAGGGCAGGGGCCACACGGCCTCGGGGCACACAGCACCCGGAGAAAGGCACGCAGGCAGCTAAGGCGCACGCGGCTCGGGGCCTGTGGCTCAGGTGCGGGCCGGCGAGGAGGGGGCACAGGCCCCTGGGGCTGACTCACCAGCCCGGCGGGCACCCCGTTCGGTGGGCACCGAGTCCCACCTGGCAGGAGTCCGGGGCAGGGCCAGGCCAGGGGCCCCAGCGCAGGACAGCCCTGCCCCCGCTTATCTCAAGCCAGAATCCGGGACCTGACCCTGAGGGTGGGACAGTGGCCTGGGGTACAGGCCAGCCGTGGGGGCGGGGCCGGTATGGGTGTGTGTGGTGGGGTGGGGCGAACAGCTGGTTGAGGTCAGTGCACTGAGGACAGTCATCTGGGCAGACGGGAGGACAGGTCAGGCTCACTGCATATAGGAGTAGCGCCAATCCCCCAGGGGCTTGTGGGTCTCCTTGATGACTTGGGGCGACGTCCACCGCAGGATGTAGTGGGGGCCCCCCGGCTTGTCATTGGTGCCTGTGAAAAAAGAAGTGTCTTTCTTTGAAAAAGTCCAACCACCCTAGGCAGGAGGGAGTGGGGATGGCACAAATGGTGCAGAAGCCAAAGGGGCCGCTCACAGCAGCAAAGGTGCAAGCCTGCAGGTGGCGGGGAAGGGGGCCAGAGAACAGGCAGGGCGCAAGCGCGGTGCCTGCGCCCGCCAGCAGGGGGCGCTGCGGAGGGCGCAGTGGACTGGGGTAGGACGCCTGGGCTCGGTGAAGGCAGCTGGGACCTTGGTCACCACCCCTCCCGGGGCTGTTCCCCCATCTGCAAAGGGGCTGTGGTTGAAGTGAGCTGGCGCACGGTGAGAAAGATGTGGGTGCTGGACCCCAAGTCCCAGCTGCACTCTTCCCCAGCTGTGCGCCTCCATTCCCTCCCCTGTGGGACGGGGTGAGGAACAACAGTAGCTCCCTACTCCCGAAGCTGCTGGGACTCCGAGCGGCACCCGGGACAGCTGCACACCAGCACCCACGCACTGTGCTACTGACACCCTTGAGACGACGGAACCTCGGGTTTCCCTCCAGAAAGGGGAACCCACTCACCGGAAGCTCGGGCGCCCCCGAAGGGCTGCTGGCCCACCACCGAGCCAGTGGACTTGTCGTTGATGTAGAAGTTGCCGGCAGCGTGCCTCAGCATCTCGGTGGCCTCGCGGACAACGGCCCTGCGCGGTCGGAGGGCAGCCAGCTCAGCCCGCCCGCCTCTGCCCTCCGTGGTCTGCGCGAGGCCCGGGCCAGCCTGGCACCACGTGGGCAGCCGCCGCGGTGGCCTCTGGAGGGGGCTGAGCACACCGGCGGGTGCCGGCACCCAAGGGGGTGGCCCACCCTGCCCCATTTCCCTACCTCAGGAACTGGGGAACCCCTGACTCCTGCATCTCCCCTCAGGTTCTAATCCCGCCCCACTCAGTGCCATGGAGGAAGGAGAAAGCAAAGCCTCAGGCTAGGCACCAGGCACCCAGGTTTGAGTCCTGCCCTCGCAAAGCGAGGGGGACACCTGAGTCTCTGACCTCACAAAGGGGGTATCGTGAGATCTGGGGAGCTGCTCCAAGGCACTGAGTGCTGAGCCCAGCTCAGGTCCCCTAGAGGGCCCCGAGAATCTGCGCTGTGAGAGCAGCTGCCTCTGCATACCTGTGCCTGGGGCACCTGCAGCCACTAAGGACCACAGCGAGGGGTGGAGAGAGCCTGGGAGTGGTGTGACTAGGACCCACGTCCAGGAGGGAAGTCTCCGGGACAGCGGGGTTCTGTGGGGAAAGGACTAGAGCCGGGGCTGCGGCCACTCACTGATCCTGAGCGAACACTGCCCCCGTGAGGCCGTAGCTGGTGGTGCTGTCCACCAGCCGCAGCGTGTCCCGGTACTTGTCGTCTGGGTAGACGTACACGGTCAGCACCGGCCCGAAGATCTCCTGGAAGAGAAGCCCCAGGTCGGCCGTGTCTAGCCCGGTGGCCCGAGCCCCTGCTGCCCTGGCCTGGCCTCGGTCAAAGGGCCAGGCCCGACTCCTGCTGGACCCCCCAGGGAGAGCTCCTGCCCGGCTCCTGCCCTGTCCACTCCACCTCACCCATGCCACCCTGCTGGCAAGTGACCTGAGGGAACCTCTGGTCCTCCCTGCCACCTAAACCCACACCCAGAGAGCCAAGGGTCCAGGCCCTGAGAAAAAGGAGGCTTCTGGCAGGAGCTGGCCCAGGAACTGGCCAGCAGTAACACTGCCATGCTGCCCAGGACCAGGGAGAGACCATCACCCCTGGCTGCACCCAAGACAGGTGCCTTGGCCTCCCGGAGCCTGTTTCTTATCTGTAAAATGGAGATGATGATGCCCGCCTCCCTCTGTCCCATTCGGCATTAGCCGCCGAGATGGCAGAGAAGCTCTGTCACCACCAGGGCCAGCAGGGTGGGGACAGAGCCCCGGCTGAGGGCCAGGAGCTCGGGCCGGCTCTGCTCTCACTGGGTGGGAGACGTTCCCCTTCGAGGGCCTCATTTTCCTCATCTGTGAAACGGGTAAGTCCCCCGGGAGGCCGGTGTGCGTGCCCGACTCGGGCACACTGCCCTCTCTGCCCGGCCGCGGCCCCGTCACCTCCTTCATGATGGCGTCCTGGGGGTCCTTGCTCTCGATGATGGAGGGCTCCACGAAGTAGCCCACCGAGTCGTCACACTTGCCGCCGGCCAAGACGGTGAGGCTGGGCGAGGAGCGCGCGTGCTCCAGCCACTTCTTGATGCGGCCGAAGGACTGGGTGGGCGGGGCGGGTGTCAGGGAGGCCGGGAGGCTGTGCCCGCACTCACCCACCATGCCCACCCCGCCACCCTGCCCCTGAAGGGCTGGGATTCTGCACCGGGGCAGGGCCCTCAGGGCAAAAGCCAGGGCCGGCGGGGCCGAGGCGAGGCGAGTGTGCAGGCTGTGTGCCCTTGTGGCGGCCGGCATCTCGGCGCACAGCCTTCACGCCTACGTGCAGTCACGCGTGACGCCTGCAGGCGACACAAGGGGGTGCACGCATGCCCGCGAGGCACCATGTGCTCACACGCGTGCCCACACGCACACAGAAACGCTGCAGAACGTGCGTGCACGCTGCGGTGGGCAGTGGGCACCTACACACGCATGGGTGGGCACGAGCGTAAATGGCCAGCTACACGCGTGCAGGGCCGGGGGGTTTAGGACACGCGTGTGCACACACGTTCACGCATGCGGCGTGAGCACGCGCATCTGCCGTCGTTGAGCCGGCTGCAGTGTGGGGGGAGACCTGTCACTGTGGCGCTGGCGTCCACCCTTCTCAAAGCCAGGCAGGGCTTTGAGTGTGGCGGCTGAGCTGCCCTGCTGGAAGCAGGGGCGCTGGACTGCTTCCCCGTCAGGAACCCCCTCTTCCACCCAGACCAGGGCTTGGCCCCCAGAAGTGCCCCTGCTTCCGGCCCTACCTTGGCGTCAATCACCGCAGAGAAGAAGATCCCAAAGTCCTCTGCAGGCTGGAGGCGAGGGAGACACGGGAAGAGCTGAGCCGCCACAGGCCCCAAAGGGAGTGCGCCCCCGCGCCCCCGCACACGGACTCCGCCCCCCGCCCCCACTGGGCGGCACAGGGCTGAGGCCACTCACGTTGCCCACCGTGATCCTGCTGTGCTCCTCCAGCAGCCGCGCTTTGATCTGCGGCCACAGGGAGCGGGGCGCGTAGAGGCGCGAGCAGGCCGAGCACTTCTGGCCGCCGTACTCGAAGGCCGAGCGCAGCGTCCCGCTCACCACGCTGTCCACGTCGGCCGAGCTGTGCACGAAGTGGAAGTTCTTCCCACCGCACTCTGCAGGGGCAGGGAGGGGAAATGACTGGGCAGCGGCTCCCCGGGGGCCTGACCGCTGCCCCCCCACACTGGGCAGAGTAGACCGGGCACAGGCACAGGCACAGGCACGGAGCTCGAGCTCGTGCCAGGAACGGCCCAGCCACCGATGAAGGACGTCCGAGGCATCGGGACCTGCCTCCCCATTACATGAGAACGTCGGGGTGGGGGCGCGCCACACAGGCAGGAGAGCCAAGGCTCCCGAGGCCCCATCCTGGGAGAGGAGAGGTCCACCCCACGTCCCCTGCCAGAGCTGCTGTCTGCCCAGATGGCCTTGAGGCACCTCAAACTCAAAGTGGCCCGCATGGGTGCCATCTTCCTCGCCAGGTCTTCTGGGTGCTGGGTTTCCAGGTGCCCACCTCCGTGAACCATGCTACCCTCCTGCCCTGGGCCTGGACATCCTCTGACCCCCACCGGCTGGCACGACTTCATGGACAGATGATCACATCTCCTTCTTCCCTACTTGAACAGGTCCACACCCTCGCCACAGGAGAAACCACTCCCTGTTCCCTAGGGAGAGGGCACCTCTAAGGTCCCATCACCCCCCGAGCCTAGGTTTCCTCCCTCAGCTAATAGTAGCTTCTGGATAGAGGATGCTGGCTGGCAAGGGAGCACTAAATGGTTAGGGAGCACCGGACGGCGAGGGAGCACCGGCTACCTGCCAGACTGTTTAGAGCCCACTGGCTGTCTTGCTGAAGCCTCACATCCACCACCCATTTTCACCACTTGAAGGATGAGAACTGAGAGGAACCATGTGCTGGGCTCGGTTGGGGATGTGCTCGCTCCCTAGCGACAGTGGGAAGAGACGGGGTGGGAACCTGACGCTGGCCCACGGGGCTCCACCTTCCTCCTTCCGGTCACACAGAGGCGGGAAGAGGTGCCTGGGGGGCCAGCAGCTAGAGACAGTACAGCTGACCCTGGGGGTCACTTTCCCAGCACCCCCGCCAAAGCTCCCACTGGCTCAGGAGTGGGGTCCAGCCTGTCCTCAGGGCCCACTCACACCCAGGAGAGGATCCCAGCAGCCCCCGGCTAGTGGGCACGGACCAGCAGCGCTTCCATCCTTCTGGGAAGTTCACTGGAGAGTCTAGCCCCCGAGCGCTCCTCCCCACAAGGCTGGCTCCTCTGGGATAAGCTCCCAGCTCAAATGTTCCTCCTTGAGAGGCTCCCCGGGCCCGCACCACCCCAGGGGACCCGCCACGCCCAGCCCTGGGCGTCTTCGCCAGCCCCCTTTCCTCCTGCTCCCTTTCTTCCCACCCCGTCATAGAAAACCTTTGTTTACTGTCTGCCTCCTGCTACCAGAATGTTCCTTAGGGCTGGGTCTGTGCGTCTGGCACCCCGCAGCCCCAGGGTCCAGGACGTGCCTGTGCAGACATGCACTTGCTGAGCGAGGGAGGAAGGAGAAAACACGCCCTCTGAGGCACAGCCCACAGCCCCCTTGTCAGCTCCTGCAGAGGCTGCATCACCCCCCATCTATCTTGATGACTGGGGGTCGGGGTCCCTGAACCCACGGGGAGGGGTGGGAGAGGCCCTTACCTCCAGCCAGGCGAGGGAAGGTACGGAACCGGTCCAGATTCTGCGCCACCTGCTTCCACAGGTGTTTGAAGGTGCTGAAAGCAAGGGGGGGCGGGGGGGCGGTCAGGGAGTCGGGCTCAGGGCCTGTGGGTAGGGGCAAACGCTGACCTGCCCTGGGAGGAGGGCCAGGGAGAGTGACCAGCTCTACGCACACCCAAGGGCCGCAGCTCAGGGGTGCTGAGGGAGCCGAGAACCGGCAGCAAAAGCAGACAGGCTGTGCCTGGGGAGGCGGCCAGGCGGCACAGAAGGCCCTGGCTTTGAGAACACAGTGCCGGGCTCCAGTCCTGACTCGGACACGCACGGCTGTGTGGCCCTGGATCATTCCTTAACCTCTCTGGGCCTACAAATCTGCCCTCATCTGGGGCCTGGCAAGATACCCCACTGCGCCCCAGCAGGCTGGGCCGTGATCAGCTCTGATGCTGAGTTAAGAGGGGACCATGCTGGGGCCCAGCCATGCCTGATGGGGAGCAGGTGCTGCCACGGTCTGAGGGGCGCCCTGGTGCCTGGGCTCCAGGGACCAAGCCACGGAGGGTCCCGTGAGCGAGCGCTCAGGCCCCCGCCTCCTCCCTAGGCTTTGAGTGTGACCAACCTCAGCAGCACAGACAATAAAAATGCTAATCGCCAGCGAGCAGGCGACACAGCAGCTAATACTAATTTATGACTTTCCTACCTATAAGCTCGCTGCTCGTCAGAGCATGGAAAACGGGCCAGGCCGTACCCCCGCCAGCAGGCAGAACCGGGGGCCCACAGCGGGCCTTTTGGAAAACAGACCCCTCAGCAATTCCAACGCTCCCTCGCCACCAGCCAGCCCTGCCCGGGGAGGGGCAGGGCCGCCTGAGGCCCGGCGGAGGGGCTAAGCTGCGCCCAGGTCCTCTGGACACTCAGAAGAACCTAAGTGCAGACCCCACACCCACACCCAGATTCCCTGAAGGCACCTCAAACTCAAAGTGGCTGCACGGGTCCCATCTTCCTCGCCCAGGTCTCTGGGTGCTGGGTTTCCGAGTGCCCACCCTGTGAACCATGCCATCCCCCCAAGGCTTGGACGTGCCGTCACCCCCAACCTGCTGGTCTGACCTTGTGGATGGATGATCAGGTCTCCCTGTACCTTCCTCACTCGAATCAGCCGCCTTCTCCACCCAGGTCCCTCCCAGGTGTGCGCGGCCTCATAGCCCATCTCCTGCTTCCGGTCACCGGCTCTTCCGCACAGACCAGCCGGAGGCATTAACCACGACGGAGGCTGCAAGCCTGGGGTCCGGGGACCAGGCAGGGCATGAAGGAGGCCACTGCACAGGCCTGGTCTAACCCAGGGCCTGGGAGGGGGTGGGGGCTGGAGAGCACCCTCAGACCTCGTGCCCATGGTGCCACATGGAATGCAGGCCCCGTGACCAGAGCATCAGGAGAAACCAACACTTGGCCAGTTTGTGGCACTGTCCCCATGGCACTAGTCGGTCCATCTCAGGAGGCAAAGAGCCGCTCGGCAGGCCCGCTGGAGCCCAACCAGGCGCGGTGTCTGCCGGGCGCGGAACGCGGATTAGGCCAGGCCCGTGTGGCCCCTGTGGCTCCCGTCAGCTTTGGCAGAGTCCAGGCACCTCTGCAGGCTTACAGGGTCTGAGAGTCACCAGACGCAATCTTCCAAGAGGAGACCTAGTCCCGGGGCCCCGCCCTGTGCTGGAGAGGTCCCCCCGGGCCCCGCCCCTCTCAGCAGAAGCACTGGCCTCCAGGCGGCTGTATGTGTTCCCAGGACACTCCCCCACCCCCTGCCTGGCCACACTGCAGCTTAGATGTCACCTCCTCCAAGACGCCTTCCTGACTCTTCTGCAACTCATCCACGCTTTTGTCTAGTGACAGAGGTGACGTCAGAATTAACATCACATCTGTCAGCCGCTTCCAGCCTGTGACTTCTGTCCTGTTCATTAACTCACTGGCCCCTCATGGTTACTCTGCCAGGTGGGAATCGCCACTACAGTTGCACAGATGCAAAGCCAGGCTCAGAGAGGTGAAGTGACTTGCCCACTGTCACTCGGTGAGTAAACGGGAACAGCTGGTTCCTGACCTGAGCTCACCCCGAGGTGACGAGGCGGGTGTCTGGTGAATGTCCCTGTCACCCCCCACCCCCCGGGACTTACGGCACACTGCCAGTGAAGTTGATGCCACAGAGGTGCTCTGAGTTGGTGATGGCGTCCCCAAATGTGGGCCCATCAGCTGGCACAAACTGGATGATGTTGGGGGGCAGGCCAGCCTCCCGGAGGACGCGGTAGACGGCATAGCTGGCCAGCATGGCAGTGTCACTGGGCTTCCACAGGACCACGTTGCCCTGTCCAGGGGTGTGGAGATGGCTCACAGGAGGGAACTGGCCGTCGGGACTCCTGCCCCACACAGAGCACCACCACCCTGCCCTGGAGCCCCCAGCGCCCCTGAAGACTGGGGTGGCTCCTACCTGACCCCTTCTGCAGGTGCAGGCACCATGATCCCAGAGCCCCTGTCCATGAGACCACACCCTGCCCAGCGGCCCCCAGGCTCTGGCCAAGGCTCCTGAGAAGCCTGTGTGCACTAGCCCTGGCGGCAGCCCGCGGGCAAGTGTGTTCCGGGTGCTCCCACGTCACGGGGTGCGGCGGGGCAAGTGCTCACAGAACTCTGCACGTGTCCCAGACGAGGGCACGGGGCGCTGGGCGTGAGCTCATCGGTCTGTGCGTGGACACAGTCCAGGCCGTGCACGGCGTCCTTCTGAGTCACCAGCCACCCTGGGTGGACTCGGGGCTCCCAAAGCCTGTCAGCTTCCCCCACCACCACCCCGACCCAACTGTGTGTTCACCTTCACCCAGCAACTACCGGACCACAGGCCCAGTTCCTTATCTGACTCATCTCCCAGCCTGGCGACCCTGACAAGAGGGTCCCCGCAAGCTCTCCAAGAGGACCGCCAATCGTGCCCACTCTCAGTGGCCAAACACAAAGCCTCCGAATCACACCTGCCGAGGCACCACACACAGTCACTTGCCCCCCACACCCCCAGATGCGCTCCGCCCTGTCGTTCCACTTTGCAGATGAAGCAACTGCCCCAGAGAAGTGGGCGAACTCCCTGGGGCCTCCAGAGTCTGGGATGCAAGCCAGTGAGACCCCCGAGCCTTCCCAGGTCCCACGGCCTCTGCTCCGTGGGCGTCCCCCACCACGAGGGCCAGGCCCTCAGGGCCCATGGCTCGTGTCTAAGGGCATCGAAAGTTGACTGGCTCAGGCTCATCGTCTCTGCCTGCCGCCCACATCTCACCATCAAGGCTGGTGCCCCCGCCAGGTTGCCACCGATCGCAGTGAAGTTAAAGGGGGAGATGGCTGCCACGAAGCCCTGGGGGAGGGAATGGCGAGGCCAAGGTCAAGTCTTCCTGCTCCGGCCCCATGGTACCTCCAGCCCTGACCTCCCCCCACACCGGCCCCTGGTACCCCCAGTCCTGACCCCCACCCATCCCTGCTCTGTGGGTACCCCCAGCCTCTGGCCCCCACCCACACTGTACCACCGGTTCCTGGTCCCCACCTACATTCACCTGTGTGTGTACCTCCGGCCCCTGGCCCCCACCCGCTCCTGCACCATGGTACCTCCAGCCCTGACCCCCCCCCCCTCACCAGCCCCTGGTACCCCACAGCCCTGACCCCCACCCATGCCCACCCCCGGTACCCCCAACCCCTACCCACGCCCACCCCCGGTACCTCCAGCCCGCGGTACACCACGCTGTTGGTACTGGGAGGCACGCTGATGGGCTGCTCCCCTTCCAGCTCCACGGCGAACTTGGCATTGAAGCGGAAGAAGTCGATGAGCTCTGCGGCAGCGTCGATCTCGGCCTGGATCACCGTCTTCCCCTGCGCGGCAGGAGGCAGGTGAGCGGCAGCAGACGTGCCCACGAGCCCTCTGCCTGCGCCGGACCGTGTGCGGCCGCTGGCACGTCCTTCCCCAGAACAGGACAGAAAGGCCCAACAACTGCAAACATTTCCTCAAGCCATCGTGCTCTTCCTGAAGGTGAGCTGAGCCCCAGGGAAAGGGCGCTGGGCAGCAAGGGCGGCGCGGCTCCTCCCGGCACCCAGGTCGGGCAGCTGCTTGCCCTGCTCCGGGTCCTGTGGGCCAAACACACTGGCCCAGCTCTGGGTGGCCACGCGCCTACACGCTTACAAGTCTTAATGAAACAACAAGGCTCCTGCATCTGGTCTCCGCAGCATGCGGCTCTCAGTGTGCCCACGGCGGCATGCTGGGACGCTCCAGGGCCTGACACGCTCCCCAGGGCCCAACATGCACCCCAGGGCCATATATGCACCCCAGGGCCTGACATGCACCCCAGGGCCTGACGCACACCCCAGAGCCTGATGCACTCCCCAGGGCCATATACGCACCCCAGGGCCTGACACACTCCCCAGGGCCTGACACGCTTCCCAGGGCCTGACGCGCACCCCAGGGCCAGATGCGCACCCCAGGGCCTGATGCGCTCCCCAGGGCCATATACGCACCACAGGGCCTGACACGCACCCCAGGGCCTGAGGGCCTAAGAGTCAGGAAAGGCCAGTAGGTGTGGGGCGGAGTCACCACCTCTGGGCAGCAGAGGGCGCTCTCAGAGCAGGCCGGCCGCCAGCACCATTCCCCTCAGCCTGCACTCAGCCAGAAATGTTTACCAGCACCTTCTAAGACTCCAGGAAGACTGGCAGAAAACCTTAATACATGGTCACAGTCTCCGAAAAGTGTCATAATACCTGGGAACTTGTGACACCCTGTGCAATGAGCACAGGGGCTGGACAGGTCCTGTGGACAAGAAAGAAGGTTCTGGAAGCCTCACAGAGGCGGCGGTATCTGGGCTGGCCCTTGATGGCTAAGCGCTCCAGGGACAGGGAAGAGAGAGCAAGCATTCCAGGCGGGAGACGGGCGCAGGAGCTAGGAGTCCGGCTAGATCCAGACTCCTGCACCACAGTGGGCAGGGTGGCCTGGCGGGAAGGGCAGAGGCGGGCCACAACAGGCCTAAGGCTGGGGACAGACTCAGGGACAGAGAGACTTGGCGGCTCCCAGGCTGGGGTGACCTGTGTCAGACAGCACTGAGGGCGGCAGGGCGGGCACCCTGGGGGCAGCGGTCAGTTGGGCAAGGCTCACCAGAGGCCTGGCTGGGAGGGGCGGTGACAGAGGGAGGGAGGCTTCCTCCACGGCTCACACAGAGCTTAGCAGAGCCCCTCTGAGAGTGACGTTCTCCGCCCAACTCCCGCCCAGCTCTCTGGACGTCTGGTCTCGGTCTCGGCACGCAGAGCAGGGCGGGACACCCAGAGGCTGGTCAGCGATGTCTGAACTGGGTGGGGAAAGCAGCCTCCCGCCCCACGCCGCTGAGGCCACCTCACCTGGCCCACCATGGTCTTGGCGAGGACCTCTGCCCGGCGCGGCCCGCTCAGCATATCTGCCGCCTTCAGGAAGATCTGCGCCCGGTCTGCGACAGGCTTCAGGTCCCACTCTTTCCTGGCCGCCAGGGCGGCCCCGATGGCTTTGTTGAGCAGGGCCTGGTGAAGAGGGAAAGGCTGGGGGCTCCCTCCTGCACAGGAAGGGTCCCAGGGAGTGAGCTCCACCTAGAGAAGCCCCGCTGCCTCGGCCCTCGGCACCCCTCCCATGGCTGCAGACACCACGCTGTCCCACCCCAGCCCGGCCACCCCCGAGTCTGAGTCTGTCCTGCTCCAGTCCAGAGAAGCCTGGGGACCCGCCAGGTGGGCAGCCTGCCACGGGCTGCTAGACTTGCTCTGCTGTCTCTCAGTCTGGCCGGGGCCTCACCTTATCCCTGGTGTCTGGTGCCCTGAGCCATCACCCAGAGCCTCCAGCCCTTGAGCTGCAGGACCTGGGCCTGCCAGGCAGAGCTGCAGCCCGAGGTGTGCCCCTGCCACCAGCCTCCCAGAGGCCAGCTTCATCGTCGTCTCAGGGTACAGCTCCCTGCCACAGCTCCCTCCCCGGCTCCTCTCGCTGGCCTCCCAAGGTACCAGTGCCCCGCTGAGCTTTGTACCCGATGTCACCAATCCCCCCAACCTCCCTCCCCCAGTGGGCAGCCTAGGGGCACCCCCACAGTGCACAGGTAACTTCGCTGCAGCTCAGCCCTTGCATACCTGGCCCTGTCGGAGACACCTGCCAGGGCCCCACAGTGCTGGCCACCCCACCTCAGGTGACTGACGTCCACCTCCATACCCGCAGCTCCAGGCCAGACCAGGCAGCTCCCTCACCCAGCCCTGCCAGGGACTCACCTTGTCTGCATAGCAGAACTTGGCCACCTTGTGTCCATGGTTAAAGGGCTGAGGGGGGAGAAGCAGGAGGTCACTGCTCAGGAAGTGCCGGGTCAGCACACTTGCCTCCCCGTGAAGCTTTCTCGAGTCCCCCACCTCCCCCACTCGGATCACGAGGTGGCAGAGCACCTGCCAGGAAGCTTCCCGGCCAGAGGAAAGGCCTGGACACAGCATTGCGGGGGGCGGGAGGGATGCAGACTTTGTGGTCAGACTAACAGGCTCAGCCGGTCTGCCCCCTGCTAGCGGGGGGCCTTATGTAATCTCATTTCCCTCCGCCACGGCTCCCCCTCCTGGGAGGGCGACTCCCTGTCTCACAGAACAGGCAAGAGGACCGGGCAGGTTGTGGAAGTTCCAACAGGGGCTGGCGTGAGGCTGCGGCCGAGGGACGGGCCCTGCGTCTGGGCTCCTGCCCGGCCCCCAGCCCCGGGAGTCATTGCTGAGCACCCTGCTCCGACGAGACCCAGGTTACTCATCTAGAAGGGGGAGCCCCCGAGACCCCCCGGAGGCTCTGGGTGTCAGGTCCTCTAGCGGCTGCACCCTCAGCAGAGGCCCCAGGAGGCCCCTGCAGGCGGCAGCTGTCCCAGGTCATCCTCTCACCGTCAGGGGGGGCCTGGTCATCACCCTCACCCCAACACACACCACCTCCGGATTCCCTCGGCACAGAGCCAGACACGGTGATCCCAACCACTGTACACCCCAAGCTGGAGGCCTATGGGTTTCCTGGACCCCATGGCCCCTGCCAGCTCCTGGCTTGACGAACGCCCAGGCAGGGGTCACGGGCTGGTGTCCTCGTGGGGACCGGGCCCGGCTCCCTGCCAGCCGTCAGGGACAGCATGAAGTGCTATCTCAGGATCTGCCCGCGAGGGACAGGACGCAGGCCCAGGTGGGCAGTGTGGCTCCCTGGATACTTGGTGAGATCACATGGGCCCAAGCACTGTTAAGGGCAGCTTGGTGGACAGTGTCCCCCCACTGTCACAGCTTTCAGTGGCTTCTGGAACGTTATGCCATTTGATGCCAGTACATAGGCCTCAAACCCGGTCAGCGGCCTAGGTCGCCTCCGGAGCAGAGACGGCACTGCGGCCGTGCGCTACCCGAGGGGAGAGCCAGACTCAGGGCGAGAGCGGCCGAGCCCCGCCTCTGTGACTTACCGACACCTGGAAGCGCACGTCCGAGGTCCACACCTCCTCGTCCCCCACCACGCAGGGGATGGCCTCCGTCTGGCCCTTCAGGGTCTTCAAGGCCTGCAGGAGGGCAGCAGGCAGCATCTCTGGTGCTTCCCCGCCCGCGCCCAGATGCAGCGCAGCATGCGGGCCACGCGGCCAGGCTGGCGGCCAGTGACCGGGCCCCTCTGACCCCTGACCGGCGGCTTCCTGTCTTCCCATTACAAGATTTTTAAAAGCCGCCTCCAACTCGTGCAGAGTCACACAAGTCCTAAAGCACTAGCAACTGATGGGAAAGTGTTTTTAGAGATAAAATACCTGCAGGCTTACAGCCCCCGAGCCCAGACCCCAAAGGGCAGGTGGGCACCTGCTCCCAGCCCCTCCCCACTCCAGGTTGCTTCCGAGGCCGGGGAGGCGCAGGGGAGGGGGCTGTCGGCCGGGGTACCCTGGGGGCTGCTGAGGGTTGTCTCTCCCCCGTGTGCTTCGCCCCTCTGGGTGCCCCGTTACCTTCTGCAATGCCTCTCGCTCGGGGCTGCCCTGCGTGAATGCCAAGACTGGCTCGTTGACGACCTTCAGGGAGAAGGCGCGTTGCCCCTGCAGCCTGGGGGACAAGGGGGACAGAGGCAGGTCAGCAGCAGCCACCACCAGGCCCAGGCGCGCCCTCTCCAACACAGGGTCCCGGCTTGACCCAAATCCTGAAATCCAGAGCAACCAAAGAACTGGGGGGACGAGGGTGAGGGAAAATACAAGAGTCGGTCTCGGAGTCCACACCCCACGCTCATGTGCAGACCTGCCGTGTGTGACTTTGGGGGCGCGCCTGCCTCCTTGGGTCGTGTTTCTTTGGTGAGAATAATCACCCCAAACTCACACGGCTGTCTGGAGTTTAAACACAGATGCGAAACCATTTCCCGGGTTCTGCACAGTGAGAGGGCTCACTCCTTCATGGGGAGGCTAACCCTGACCCCAAACAGGCCCGGGCCCTTTCAGCACCTTCCGGGGCTGTCTCCGCAGCATGGGGACCAGCTGGCCGCAGGGCCGAGGGCGAGACACCACGGTGCAGCCCGAGACCTGGGGGCCATGCTCAGCCCGCAGACACAGGGAGGGCTGGTGGAGGACACGCTGACTCTCGAGAACTTCCATGCAGTCTTGAGCCTTATGAGCTCATGGACTAGGGAGCCCTGCTGACCACCACCCGGGACAGGCCTGGGGTCTGAGGAGGGGGCCCGTGGGGAAGCAGGGACTCCAGGGTCACTCTAGGGCTGGCACCCAGCGCCACCCACCCACCAGGAACAGGCCTCAGAGCAGGCCCATGTGAACCAAGCAGGTCGGGTCCTAAGAGGAAAACAGCTCAATCAAGATCAAGAGCAGGAGGAACTGGAGTTGCACCCAGAAACAAACCTGCTGTCCTCCCTCGCTGGTATGGACACCCTGCTGCCAGACGCGGGGACGCCGCTGCGTGGACATATCGGCCCCTGGCAGCAGCTGGGGCCTTCTCAGGGTGGATTACAGGCCCCAGCCCGAGACAGCGGGCCCCTTACACCTCGGGAAAGCACTCGCCAGGAGTGGAGTTAAGCCAGACAGGGCTCGGGATGGGAGAGCTGGAGCGGGAGAGGGAATTGGCCTGGTTCTCACAGGGGTCGGGTGTGTGTGTTGGGGGCGGGGGGAGGCCGGGGGTTGTCTAAAGGGTGGTCTGTCTGTCTCAGCCGGAGTGCTCTGGCTACGTTTCGTTCTGAGCTTCAGTGTGTTGAAGTGGGCTTCCCCACATTTCACGGCCTCAGTGACCTGAGGAAGCAGTGTTCTGTCAGTTGTTCAGACAAAACAGCCTGGTGACAGAAACGTTTCTTTTTTCCTGGGAAGAGTTCCAGGGGTTTCAAGACCCAGCCTGGGGGGCCTGGAGGAAGGACTGCAAGGTTAGAGAGCACCCCGACAGCTCCGACACTGAACGCAGCCACCCTCCATTAGGGGTGCAGGCAAGAAATAAACACGAGAGAGACAGAGGGCCACAAAAATGTGTAAGAGAGAGGTGGTCAGGGAGCCTCTCGGAGCTGGACCGAGGAGGCCGGAGAAGAGCTGGGAAGGGCTTTTCAAGCAGAGGGAGGAGCAAGAGCGAGGGCCCACAGCAGAAAGGGGCTGGGGGGGGCAGGGCCAGTGGCGCCCAAGATGTCCAAGGACCAAGTGACCTGTCCCTCCTCACCCCACCTCCACCCCCAGGTCACATACACCCACTCACCCGTGGCGCCAGGGAAGCCACAACCCTATGTCTCAGCCCCTCGCCCACTAGCGGTGTGGCCCTGGCCAGTCTGGTTCAGGAACACTGTCCTCCTGTATGACAGGTGACCCCTGTCTCCAGGGGTTAGTGTGGGGAGCTGAGGAGTTCAGTGTTACCTTATATGTGCTCAATACCTAAAATCCCTGCTCCCTCTCTACCCACAACGAGCAGTCTTGAGCATCCCCTAGGGGAGGGAGGGCCGTGTCTATTCCCGGGTCGTCTGGAAGGTTCCAGCAGCTTCTCTCTGGACCTCTATAGCAGTCCTCTACCACTCCTCAGTAGCCAGATACAGCCTCATCCTATCTAAGCCAGGAGAGTGGACCCCTGTTTGGGGTGTCGGGCTGGGGGCCAGCAGGTGGACCCCCAAGCCCCCATGGGACCCCTGTTCCCAGGGATGTGAAAAGCACCAGCTCCCAAAGCTGATATGTCCAGACCCAAAGCACCAGCCCAGAGACCTCAGCACCTTATAAACCCTGCAGGCCTCTGCTTCCTCACCCAAACAGACTTCGAATCCCCAGAGGATTGCCACAAGGATAAAAGTACTCACTTCCTTTTCTAAGAAAAATGTAAAACGTCCTCTAGGTTACTCCGCGAGTGGGGTTTTCAAGGTAAGTTGGTCCCCAGATCCCCCAAAACCAGGTCCCCCTCTCCTCCCCCACACCCCCTTAAGGTACAAGTATCCCTGGGATAAAGTTAACTGTTCTAAGAAAGGAAAGAAATGGCCCAAAGTGGAATCATTTGTGCCAAACCCCAAGACTTACACCACACTAAGGCAGCCCAGCCTCACCCCAAAGTGGACTCTGGACTCCCCATCTCAGCCCAGGGAGGCTGTCCACAGGTGAGACCCCTCGGGCTCCCCTAGATTGACCCTCTGAAACAGTTTTTGCTAAATAGCCTCCTAGTCCTACCCTGGAGCTCCAACATCCCCACCCCGCCTTTGTAGGAGGCCCGGAGCACCCCTCTGTTAGCCAGATGAGGCGCAGTCCTGAAATGTACATGGCAGAATTTAGTTCTTTAACAAAACCATAGTTCACCCCGGGCAGAAGCTTTAAATGTACTGGTTCCCAGCCCCCTCCCAGGGGAGTTTTAAATGCCACCGGCGCCCACACCACCCCAGGGCAGGGTCCCCCGTGACCCCGGGATCGCAAGCCCACGACTTTCTGCAAGCCTGGCTCTGGCTCGCTGTCAGCCTGAGCAGGAAACACAGCAGTTCATGAATTAACCTGAGTCAACTCGAACCAAAAATAATCTAGGGACTCAGGTCAAATTATTTTTTGGCAGGCAGGGGAGCGCGGTCACGGGCCACTGGGATTAGCAGGAACACCGTCCCCCTCTGGGTTTGGGCCTGTGAGGCTCTGAGGCCTTCTCAGAGGGCCCGCATTCCTCCTTCATTCATTCCGGCAGTTAGCACACATCCATTACACACCGCAGGCAGGTAGCGATAACCCAGACCAGGCCCAGGCAGCTCACTGACTCCCCACGCGTTCCCCACGCTGCCAGGGCCAGCTCGGGGGCTCCCAGCCTCCTCCTCCCCGAAGGCATAGGCAGAGACTACAGTGGACTCAGCTTCCGGGTCGGCCTGGAGCGCCCCTCCTGATCACCCAGGTACCCCGGGGGACCGGGCCTGAGCTCAAGGTCCCCTCCTTAGCCTGGCAGGCCCAAACCTGGAAGGCCCAACCTGGAAAAAGGCCCAAACGTCAAAACCTCTGCCAACAATTTCAGGGCTGGAAGGAGCTATGAGCCAGTCAATGCTGTTGGACATTTACAGAGGGGGACAAAGGGGTTCCAAGGTCACCCTCGGCCTCGCAGGCCAAGGCACCATCCGCTGTCTCCAAACCCCAGGCTCAACAAACACATTGATAGTGGCACTCAGAGGCTTCCAGTTTCCTCTAAATAAAGACTCAGAATCCATCCTGATGAGGCTTCCAGTTTCCTCTAAATAAAGACTCGGAATCCATCCTGAGCTTTCCAGACCACCTCTCCCCTGCCACGCACCACCCCCCCCATCATGGAGTCCTGGTCCTTTTTGAGGGCCTCACTGCATGGGATGTTCTTCGCCTGCTTTTTCAAAAGAAAGAACAGGTCCCAAGTGGGCGTCTTTCCTGCCAACCCCCACCAACACCTAACCCTCACTTCACTGCAGGGTCAGCCTCTCCCCAGTGAGGAATCTTGAAGTAATCAAGAGAAGTCAGCCCCCTGCTGAGAAAGGAGAAAGCAGAATGAAAGGTCGCCAAAGGGAGGTGGCTGAGCCTGAAACAATTCTTTCCTGGTGCGCTAATAACCCCTTCCCCCTTCCCCCTGGAGGAGCAGCCCTCCCACCCACAACCCCCTGACATCCGGTCGGTCGGGGCTCAGACTGTGCTCCGGCAGGCCCATTCCCCTTCCACTCACTGCCCAGCCCAGGAGCACCTGGGAGAGAACCCCAGTGAAACAGCGCACCAGTGGTGCCAGTGGCAAAACCAGGCCTCCAGGGCTGGAGTCCAAGGCCAGTGTCCAGGTAACAGGGGCTGGACACAGAGCCCCTGCGACTGGGGTCAGGGTCAGGAGGAGTAGAAAGTAACCCCTCTTGCTTCATTCAGCTTCCAGGTTCTTCAGCAGCTCTCTGGGGCCTGATAAGGCCAATCCTTATCACTGAGATAGGGGCCAGCAGGGAGAAAGCTCCTGGGCAGCTCGCCTGGGCTGCAGGAGGTCTCTACCCCATTGCCTCAGGAAGGAGGGAGGCATAAATATCCCTCCATCCAAAGGGGAAGGAAATGTGCCTCGAAGACTGACACAGGCTCATGCTCCTGGCCTGCTAGTGACAACAGATTTGAACTCCGGTGTCCCCTACTCAGGAAAAGTGGCACCCCCACACAAAGATCCCGGGTCAGAGGGCCTGACAGGACAGCTTCCTCCTCACTGAGGCCACCGAATGGGCAGCGGCTTGCCCAAGGTCACAGGGATGTCTACTGGCATGGCCAGCTCGGCCCAGGGCTGCCCATTCCATGATGGAAGCCAAACTTGACTGTTAGGTGCTGGCCACGCTTCAAAGCGGCTTTCACATGCGAATTCATCTATATCCAAAACAGTCCTATGAGGCGGTCGCCTTTATCATTGTTCTCCACGTGGGTCCCTGCAGCAGCAAAGAGAGGTCAAGTAACCTGGATTTCTCCAGCCCACAAACTCCTGACACAGGGAGAGCCAGTCAGCCCTCCAGCACCCAGCTGGGGCTGGTATAAGGGCAAGTGAGAGGCAAAAGTGCACACTTGTTATAAACCTATGTACCTGGGCTAGTCCTTTTATTAAATTTATATATAAATATGTGTCCTGACTTTCCAGAGAGATTCTGCAGACAGCCAAGGAAGCCCCTGATAAAGGTGGTGAAATGCAGACGCGAGCAGGAAGTCGGGTCAAGCAGCTGGGAGGCAGCTGGGAGGAGGCCTGGTGGCTATGAGCTTAAAATCTAGGACCAGCTTTCCTTAACAAGGAAGGGTCCAGCTGTCGACTCAGGAATGGGGTAGTAACATCACAGGTTGTTGAAGAGCTAAGTAACCCTCATAAAAGGTTACGGCCGCATCCGTGGAGGTCAAGCTTTTGGGGGTGATTGCAACAAGACTGGGCTAAACCGGAGGTGGTGAGCACCTTGGATGAGCCCTCCACCAATCGTGGGGGGCCTATCAGGTGTGTGTGGGGGGCCCCTAGTCCCTGGGAGCAGAGAGTTAGGCAGACAAGTCTAGGAAGTGAAAAGCAAGCTACCGGAAAGTACTTAGAGACAATCCTCCTATGTTATTGCTTCAACACATATACTTTTCCAAGGAATTTTAAGTTTATCAGTCCAAGTGACAATGATGGTCACCTCTGGGTGGTGAGATTCCAGATGACTTTTGTGTTCTTTCCTGCCTTGATTTATCTGTACTTTTCACAATGGACATATATTAAATACAAAACATGTCTATTTTTCCAAAATTGAGATTCCTGGCACCCCAGGCAAAAAGGGAAATGCCACATGACATCACCCATACCATTTCCTCTAAAGATTTTTCTTACACTAGAGTACATGACACAGAGAAAGATACCACTAAAATGGCCCTAAAATAGTTTTTCCATTTCCACTCCTGACAGGGTGCAGGTGTGTCTGAAGCACCTGCTGACTATGGGAGCAAGTGACTCACACTGCAGTTGCTCTCTGACTGCCTAGCCTCTCTAGAAGCCAGCCTGTCCCCCAGGTGACGTTTAGCAATGTCTGGAGACCTTTTTTGGTCTTAACTGGAGGGTACTATGGCATCTAGTGGACAGAGGCCAGAAATGCTGTTAAATATCCTACAATGCACAGGACAACCCCACATCAAAGGACAATCCTTCTCAAAATGCTAACAGTGCTGAGGTTGAGAAACCCATCTGGGGCATGGGGCCAGTTGTTGTATCAGAGGTAACCTGAGCTGTGCCTCTGGTTGCAAAACACTTTTTCTCTGATTGCAATTGCTTCTTCCCCACCCAGGAGGCTCTGAAACTCTAAGTTCAAATCCTCCTGGGTGGGGAAGAAGCAATTGCAGCCCGACATCTACACACCGGCTAGAACTGGCAGGCAAGTTTTGCACCTGTAAAATGGGGTAATACTGTGCTTATGGGCACAACTGTGGCATTTGATTATTTGATAAATATTATTGTTGTCATGGGCCTTCTTGTCTTTCGTAAAGAATATGGAGTGCTTTCCACGTCTGTTAGAGGGCTTTTCCCTGGCTGTTTTAAAGCTTACCTCTTCTCCCCCATAAATGGAAAACTCTTCAAAGACCACATCCACTTGTAAAGCCCCTGGATGCCTACCCGGGTGTTCAGCATAGCGCCTTGGTATGGCAGCTACTCAGAAAGCACGTGAATCCGAGGGTCTCACACGGGTGGTCTCAGAGACCCACAAATGGGCCCAGGTTGAGGGTCTGGCAAGGATGGCCCCTGGCCCTTTCACGCCCATATCCTCTTCCTGGGCCTCACCCTTCCCATGCCCACCCACAGAGGATGCACAGCAGTGTTGAAACTCACTGTCCAGAGTGCCCTATGCCATCCCCCCTAGGACACTGATTAACTATGAAAGGGCACAGCTCAGCAGGGAGACAGCCGGTCACCGTCCCAGGGGTCAGACAAACACAACTAAAATTGGGGGTGGGGGCCGTGCTCTGAGGGAGATGGACAGAAACAGTGGCGAGCCCATCAGGGCAGCCGCACTAGACCGTGAACCCTGTCTGTGTTCTGCCTGCCTGCACCCTCTGGCCCAGGGAGGAAGAGGTTTAGGTAACATCTGCCACTGAGTGGACAAGTGAGCAGGAACCCAGCTCCAGAGGCGGGGGTGTGTGTGCAAATTTGGGGTTGTAAGGCAGTTGCACCTCAATTTGGCAGAAAAATATCTGATGCACTCAAGTTTAAATAACTGTGATAATGAAGATCATGAGATCACGCTACTAAGTGGCCACTGTCCATGTCCGGAGGCCGGGCGATGCAGCTAGTTACATGGAGTAATTCACGGAAAGTTCACAAGGGCGCAGGCCAAGAAGGTAGGGAGGCGTTTGGTATTATAAACACTCCATGAATATTACCGCACCTGCCAGAAGGAGAGCCCCTTGTCTGCCCAGCACTTAATTTGAAAAGGAGGGATGAGGAAAGGAACTGAAAGGTAGAAACTCTGGAAGACTCGGAATTCCGGGGGCGGGGGGTGGGGTCCTGAAAGGAGACTGAGGGTGGGGAGATGAGAAGTGGGGTTTGCTAAAAACAAAGGAAGCTAATGGTCCTTGGAACTGGGCAATTTCGAAGACCCAAGGAAGACAGGTGAGCAGGACTTACTCTCCAAGCCTGGGGGGCTGAAGGGTACCGAGGCACCCCACTCTGCCACAGGACTGAAAAACGGGGTCCCATCTTTAAAGGAAGACTACCACTGGGGGAAACTGAGAAAGGCCTGGGCGGGAAGCTGAGGTCACTAAAGGAAGCGACCCCGGGCGGAGGAGGGCGCCTGGAGAACCCGACCCGGATCCAGCAGGTAGAGAGCCCAGAACCGGGGGCCGCCAAGGAGCCCCGGAGCCGCGGAGCCCCGGCCAGCAAGCGCCTTTCCTGGGACCTCCAAGCCTGGCACTCACTCACCCGGTGCCCCTCCAGGAGCGGGTCAGCAGGGCGCGGCGGAGCGCAGAAGGCAGCTGCTGCAGCATCTCGGACCCGCGAGCCGTGGGGAAGCCGGCGGGTCCGCCCCAGGCGCTGCGGGGCAGCGGGCTCCGCCCGGATCGTACTACCTAGGCGGATGGGGGGAATCGGTCACCCCATCGGTGCCCTGGGTCGGGTAAACCAAAATGTTCCTGTCTTTCCCTTGTGCTAGTAAAATGTCTCTCTTTTAAATGGCATGAAACGGGTCTCTGTGTGGCACAGGACAAGGTCGCCCAAAAGAGAAACCTTGAAATATGCACGTTTCCCCCTCCTCTTTGGATGGTTTGGCCCAGCCAGTGGGTGGAGCCAGGAGGGAGAGGGCGTGAGCCCCAGCAACCAATCAGACCAACACGTGGACGCCCTGGACCAATCAGAAGCACGTTCCTGGGCTGCCTTCCGAAAGAGCCAATGAGAGGGCGGCATTGGGACACGTGGGAGGCGGGGCGGCCTGACCCGCGGCGCCGGGTTCGCGGCGACTCCAGTGCGGCTGGCGCCGTGGCCCAGTGTGCTGCTTTTGGCACGTGGCTACCCGGCTTATGGACGCCGCGGGGCCACAGCGCGCCCAGCCCCCTGCCCCGCTCGGGGTGGGCGTCCCCGCCGCACCCTGCACCTCCCGGCCTGGCGCGGGGCCACCTGGCTTCCCAGCGCCTGGCGCTTAGGTTAATCGTCCCATGTTCCTCGCACATTATGGCCAATAAAAGATACCACCCCTCTCCCGCCCCCCAGCTCACCTGTACCAAGCTTTATTCCCGCTCCTCACGCCTCCTCCAAATCAAAAGGTGTTTTCTCTGAGATTTTTGCCTAAAGAACTAACACTCAGATTCTGGAGGTTCCTCATGGTGTGGTCTTAGGACCCCTTAGGGTCCCCAAAAACTCCTCTGGGCCTCAAGTTTCCAGGTGTATGAAGGGCAGGGAATGAATTCCCGTCTGGAAATGTCTGCATTGTTTACTGCTACTTTTCTTCTGCACTTTAAGATGCTTCAGGCCCCATGCACCAATCAGAATAGAACTCCTGGGTCAATCAGGGAGGTCCCGTGGCAGCTTCTTAGGCCCGGAAAGCCAATGAGATCAGGAATGGGAGACTGGGGAGAGGCAGAGACCGCTTTAAACACTGGGCTTCCAGAGGGTAAAAAGTAAATCGTAATTGGCAATGGCTGCTTCTCTCCATCCTTGAAGAAGATGCTAGTCAGGCCCAGTTCACCTAGGGCAAAAATCTCCTGAATGGAGATCATTAACTAGAAAAATCTAGGATATTGGAGAATATCAAGTCCACAGCCCCAGGAGCTGGCCTCTCCAGGGCTGGTGAGAAGGTGTAAGCAGAGGCTTTGTGAAGAGCAGAATCCCAGTTCCAAACTAGACTGTCCTTTCTCAGCCTGGGAGGAAACCTGTGATGGCATTGTCTCTCACTTCCCCGCCTTTGAAATGCGCATAATGAACATTGCTCCTACAATGTTAGTGTGAGCCAAAAGGCAACAAACAGGTGGTGTGAAATTACCCTCTTTTGTCATTGATTACTTTGTTTTGGGGTTGTTGTGGTCCCCAGTTCTTGAGAACCACCAATCACCATTTTATATTTAATTTTTAAAAAAGGAAACACCATCAATTCTAAGACATGTCACTTTATTTAAAAGAAGCCAATATACAGGATATAAAGGGCATGATATTTACAACAGTACAGTAAACAGGTTGGTTTCTGGTGGGATCAGTAGTCTTTCGATGAGTATAAACCCCCCTTGGAGCTAGATCAAGGTGGCAGACAGAGCAAGAGTGGGACATGGGGCACGGGATAGTCACCCCAATGGGGCTAAAAACAGGTAGATGCTAAAATGTCCACAAAGGGGCCTTGGGGTTGGGGTGCCTTTGCCTCTTTTTTTCCTTTTGTCAAGCCTTGTCAGAGGGAAAGGTGAGGGATTTCCCCGGGAGAAACACAGCCCACCTTGAGCCTGGGAACCCTCCACCCATAGGAAATTCTCTTCCAGAGAGACTGCCTTTGCCCACACCCACCTGGCTGCCTGGGCTAGGAGAGTGACCTTCTAGAACCTTCCTCTTCTAGGAAGAGGATCCAGGTCTGAGGAAGCCCCCAGTACCCAGGTTCCTCATCCAGGGCCCTGGGGGAGCACCACCGGGGCTGCTGCCCAGAGCCAGCTCTGGGCATTTCATGGGCTTCGCTCCTGCTCCAGCTGCCAGATAATCTGAGCCATAGGGTCCAGGCCCCAGAGAAATGAGCATTGTGCTCCCCGACCTGCAGCCCATAGCCACAGTGGGGGGAGTTGCGCCTCCACTGTCCCCCAGCACAGCTGATGCGGCAGTGGGCCCCAGCAGACCAGAGCCCGAGTAGCTGATCAGCACCCACCCTCTGAAGCAGGCTGTGCCCTTTGCCCTTTTCCTCCTATCAATTCTGCGTTCCCCCTAGCTCACCCACAAGTGCCCTCCTCCAAGACATCCAAAGGCCATGGAGCTGGGGGGCCAGGGGCGTGGGATGAGAGAGACCTGGGTGCTCTGCAGAGGAGATGGGGCGAGGGGTGCTCTTGCACTCAATCCAGCAGCCACACGCATTTGTCCACAGAAAAACACTGGGGTACCACAACTGCCTGCCCTAGATTAAAAAAGCCTTTCCTTTCATAAAAATAGATGAGTCTCTTGCTTTATAAATAGATTACACTGAGCTGAAGTTATTCTTGTATTACCCCCTCCCCTGCATCCCGTCCCCACCCCAAGCTAAAGGGTTTGATCGTCCGCATCGTCTGATCTCCACCCAGAGACCTGAAGATGTGACATATTGCCACACGAAAACAAATGTGTCTACTTGCCAAAAACTGTTTTCCCTGTTCAGCCACAAAAGTGTGTGTGCATGTGTGTAAATGTGTGTGTGTGTGTGTTCCACAACCAGGGAGCCAAAGGAAGCTACTCTTCCTGCCCCTCCCCCAACCTCTCTTTTTAGAAAACCCCCCACATAGGAGAACAAGAGAGTGCAGCACAGGAGAGTCATCTGAGGATTCTAAAATACCAGTGTCAATATGACACCGAGCTTAGAAGTAGAAAACCAAAACGAAGTATATACAACTTTACAAAGGATGGACCCCAAGGTCCCAGCTGGACTGATGCTGCCCCAGCAAGCATTGGGGGTTTCCTTGGCAAGCTGTGGGCTCGTGGTGCAGTGACAAGCAGGGCCCACTGGCAACTAACTCGAAACAGAACCTGGTGAGGAGGGAGACAGCCAGGCCTGGTCCAGGAGCCCACCGAGGAGGTGCGGGGCCACCTTCCTGGGGACCCCCGTGCACCAGCCCCAAACTCTTTCTCCCCAGAGGAGAGTAGAGACTGGAAACGAGCAGGAAGGGAATGTCTGTCTCTGCCTCCTGGCACTCCCATACTCCCAGGCCAAGTCGCAGAACCCAAGGCGAACATCCTCTAGAGGATGGCGAGAGGGAGGCGAGTCACAGCACAGCGCACCCAGCTACCTGAGCCGCCCTCGGCGCGTAACTGTCGTAACGCTAAAGAGAGGCCCACACCCGCCACCTGAAGCGCCGGACTGGCTCTCACGCTGCCGGCCCACCGCTGCACCTCTGCAGCCCTGGACACAGGAGGCCCACGGGCGGCCGTTTTCCTGCCCGCCCAGAAACGGAAAGTCTTTTCAGCAGCTGAGGTCCAAGCCCAAGTGGCTCTGATAACCTTTGGTTAAAATAAGAAAGAAACTAAAACAACACTAAAATAACAATAATCAGGTCTGTCTGAACCCTGTCACCTTTAGAACAAGGGTCAGTGTGATGGAGGGAAGGGGCTGCCTCCCCTCCAAAACCGCTGTCCCTCTGTGTACCGCCCCAGGGCCTGCTTGGCTGGTAAGAGATGCTGGGCAGGGAGGCCTCTCAGGAGGCCCCCCAACAAAACAGGAGAAAAAGAAAATGGCGGGGAGACACAACAAAGGCCACCAAATTCTGATAAATAAAAATTACAGTCACTAGCACACTAGCACTCTCCCTCTACACATATATATTATACGAATATTATGTACAATGGTTTTAAGACTACAAAACAGATAGAAGAAATGGAAAGAGAGAAGACCCGCACTGGCCCTGCCACCCTGGGGAGGACAGGCCCAAAGCCAGAGCACCCCAACTGCGCCAGACAGCGGGCAGTGGGGAGGAGTTCTGGGCCTTGACCTCCAGGGGGCGCTCCGGGGCCACCCAAAGCAGACACCGTAGTGTACAAAAGGAAAAGGCGGCCCGCCCGGCCTGCTCCTGGGGGCACCACTGTGCCTCCGCACTCGGGTCCCCCAAGTCTTGGGGAGATACTGGCTCAGATTAACTCCCCAACTGGTCAGTCAATCAAGTGAAATATGGAAAGAGGCTGACATGTCCACGGGTGGGCCTCGCCTGAGCGCCAGCTTCGCCACCTCTGACCTCTCTTTTCCAACACGTGGGTGCTTGCCGGGACAGAGGAGATCCCAGACGGCAGCGGCCTGGGCTAATCCAGCTCCACTGTGGAAGGGGGTGATGCCAGGCCTGGTGCCCCTCAGACTTTCTCATAGAGAAATTACAGATAAACCCCGAATTTTTGGTGGGGAAGGGAGGGAAAACATCAAGTCCACAGGCAATAAAAGGCTCCCCTCCCCCACCACAGAGGTCCCAGGAAAGTCAGCCATCAGGTGGGCTAAGGGCCTTGTAGGACCCACCTGGGTCCGTGCTCCCCCCCCCCCCCCCCCAGCTGCTAGGAGAGATCAGAGATGGTTCCAGCTCCGCCTCCCTCCCAGCTCCAAAGCAGGAGTCTGGAACCAGGCCTACCTTCTATGTGATATAAGGCAAGCTGCTTTTTTTTGTTGGTTTTGTTTTTTGCATAGTAGTTTAAACACAGTGAGGCTCCACCTTCCCCACAGTGCCTTCTCCCTCTGCCTTGCCACTAGATCCAAAAAGAAAGAAAAATTTGTCTTCCCTCCCTCCTCTCATCTCTTCTCTCTTTCCACAAGTGGAAAACCTTGAGAGGTCCCCGCCCCGGCCTGGAAAGGCTGCAGAGGCCCAGGGCTCCTTCCTGGGGGGCCTGGGCCACCCCAAAACCAATTTCAACAGTCGGAGGCCCGCAGAGGAGGGAGGGCGCAGCTCATGGCCAATCGGAGGAGCAGACGGAAGGGCAGAAAACCACAGTATCCACGCCCAGGGCCCCGCCCTCACCTTAGAGTTCTATATAAAAACACCTGCCAGGAATAATTCTTTGGAGCTCAAAGTGGCTCAGCTTAAGGGAAAAGGCACAGTTTACACTGCATCATCCGGACAGAAGTCTGCATTTGTAACGTGGAGAACAATAGAAATTGACAGCACCATTCCTTGGGTGGGTGGGCGGATGGAGACCGGGCACTGGTTGGTGGTAGGAGGAAGGGAGGGAGGGAGGAAGGGAGGGAGGAAGCAGCAGTCCCTTGGGGCCTCCGGAGAAGGGAGGACACAGGAAGTCTGTGTGTCGAGGACGGGAGCTCCACTCCCGGGGGAGAGAAGGCAGAGGCCCCATCACCAAGCCCACTAGGCACGGAGGGCCTCGGTCATCAGCTGACCATGGGCTCCACATCTGCCTCCCGCTCAAACTCGTCCTGGATCTCGTCTGTACTTCCTGAGTCGCTGCTGGCCACGGAGCTGGGGGACGGTGAATTCCTGGAAGGCAGAGGAAATGGGGGCTGGTCAGAGGCAGCCTGGGAGACAAAGAGCAGCCACTCCCATAAACTCAAACCTCAGAGGAATCTGCCTGAGACCTTGCCCTTGTCCCGTTCCCTTCAGAATCTTCTCGCTCAGGAGGTGAAGGTGGCTCCTAAGAGCTCTTGGGGCCCCCATGCACCAGCTTCTAATTGCTCTGGGTGCTGAAAGCCCCTTGGGAGCAAGGGCCAAGGATCAAGGATGGTTCTCACCCTCAGTCACCCATCACAGGGCACAGAATAGGTGCTCAGAGCACCTCCAATCAGCTCAGAGCCCAGAAGGAGGCTTTGCTGTCCAGTGGTTAACATAGAGGAGCCAAGGAGCTTAAGAGTGGACATGCAAAGTCTTAGCCCCCCACCCCCACCCCCTAGAACCCCCCAAGGGTTTCTCTTTGACACTCTGAGACATAGCCTGCAGGAATATAATCAAATACATTCGTGCTTCGTGCCAACACCGTATGCGTGAGATCCCATTTTATCAGTAGCATGCCAGTGTCCTGGACAGGCTGCACATGCTTGTCTTTGTTTTGGCGCCCCTCAGCAAACACAAGGGGCCTGTGCAGGTCAGTCTCCTGGGGACAGAGCCAATGGGCTGAGTCCAGTGGGTAGTTGCCTCCTACTCCACGGCGGGGGAGAGGAGTGCCCGCCCCTCCTCCACCCCGCCAATTCGGCAGAGATTGCATCAGAAGCACCATGAGGGGCTAAGACTATCCTGTGCAGCACTGGGTGCCCACGGCCGTGTACGCAGCAGGTCTCTGAGAAGCCAAGTGGGAGCAGTAAGATTTGACAGGCAGGTCATCTGGCCCACGTTAGCAGGCATCGTCAGTAACCTGTCCTGTCCAGGCTAACAGACACTGGGTGGTGGGTGGAGGGACGGACGGACGGCTGGATGGATGGGCAGACGGGTGAGCCAGGTTGTAAGTTCTCGCCCCACAAGTGACCCCCCGGAACCCAGCCACTGACTCCCCAGGGAGAGCAGAGCCAGGCACCTGTCTGCGGAGCCTTTGATGAGCCGGCGGCAGGTCTCCATCTGCACGTCCAGGCCGCGCTTCATGCTGCACATCTCCATGTACTCGTGCAAGTGTCGGTTCATGTCGCTCTTGGCGGTGGCCAGCTCCAGCTGAGAAGGACCAACGAGGGGGAGCCAGGTCACCCTGACAGCCGAGCCCTCCGCAACCTCATCCCCCGAGTCCCCAGCGGTGCCGGCATCAGGCCACCCTACACCCTCAGCCCCTGCCTCACGCACATTAACCTCCCTCTGCTCTCTGCATCCTGGTCCATGGCCTCTGGCGTCTGCTTCTGAGCACGGGGGAACAGCTGCTCAGGAACCACAGAGACAGCTTTTCCTAGTAAGCGGTTTCCGATCCTGCCAGCTCCACCCTGCCCACACCCCTGCATCCCTTTACAGGCACTTGGTTAGGAAAGCCCCCCATTTCTCGTTTCGCATGCTCCCGACCAAATGCTTCCTCCCCCAGAGCAGGAGCCGGGCTTCTCTTTCCTTAGCATGACCGCTACCGCTCTCATGGATTGCACAGTCTCTGGGACTCAGAGAACTGGGCTGGACAGCCGCCCTGGCTGCGAGGCCTTGGACCAGTCACTCGATCTCTTTCCGCCTCTCCCCTCCTTTGTAAAACAGGCGCACAGCCCTGCACGGGGAGGCACGGGGCGCCCGCAGGCACCCAGCACATGCGGTGGCTGTAAAGGCCCACTCGGATGCCGGCTCTCATTACGCTAGGGTCATCGCCTTAGGGGGACGACTTCAAACTCTCTGGGGCAGACAGGGGCTACCACCCCATTTTATAAGTTAGGAAACTGAAGTTAGAAGTGGGGTCTGGCCTGCCCTGCCCCAGGCTCCCCACCCTGAATCTGGCCCACTCCAGCAGCCCTGCCCTCGAGGGCACGTCAGGCCCAGGGGTGTCCACCGCGGCAGCTCAGGGGACCGTGCCGGAGCTCGCTCACCTCGATCTGGCCTATGGTTTCCTGGTACTCCTTGTCCCTCGTCTTAAAGAAGGATTCGGTCTCATGGATCAAGTTGCCCAAGTTCTCCTCTTGCTGAAAGAGAACAAAAGGGACGGTTTAGCTGGGTGGTGGGGTGGTAGGAAAGGACACGGGTGAGGTGTCACTGCAAGGCGGTGCCCGGTGGGTCCCTTGCCCGCCGCTCACCTCGCCCTGCACCTCGATGGACGGGTTGCAGTTGGTGAAGTCTTCCCAGAGCAGCAGCGTGTCTTCGTTCTCTTCCCACGTCAGACTGTCACAGTCGTCATCAAAATCAAAGGTCTCCCGCCTGCAGGGGGGACAGCGGAGCCCATGAGTGGACAGGAGCCAGGTCCTGGGCCCGGCAGACAGAGGGGCACTGCCCCACAGGGTTGCTCCTACCAGGCAGCCCTCCAAGCCTGGGTGGTGCCCAGTGCCAAGTGAGTCTACGTGCTCTGTGTGCCATCGAAAACCTCTGTTTCTTTAAGCTGCTGGGTTTTAATTAATGGAGCCCAGCGATGCTCCTATCCAGCCCCGGCTTGCAACAGCTCAGGTCTTGAGCCCTGATTTTGCCCAAGGAGATTAATGCTGCTGCCACTTACAAAGGACATTCCAGCTCGGAAAGAATAACTCACTTGTCCAGAGTCACAATGCGAGCCTGGAGCAGAGGCTGGGGCTGCAGGTCAGGGCTTCTGTGCCTGTGGTTTTCTCCTCCCCATCAAAACATCACCCCGCACCCAGTATGTGCGGGCGCAGGCCCGGCTGCGAAGCGGATACTAAAATGCAGTTCACGCAGTCCTCACCGCCCACAAGGGCAGCGCGTGGTTATCCCCACTTTGCAGGTGAGGAAACTGAGGCTCAGCTGAGGCTGCTCGGCAGGTGCAGGCTGAAGTCAGACTTGATTTCAAAGCCTGAATCTGGACTCCTGGGCTTTCCTATTCACCAGAGGCAGAAGTAGGTCACTAATCATCCAACTCTGGCTGGGCCTAGGGGGTCCCCAGAGATGCAGGGGGTACCCCAACTGGAAAAGGACTTAAAAACCCTTCTGCCCTACCACTGATCATGCAGATGGGAAGCTGATGCCCCCAGCGTTAACTCACTTGACGGTGATATCGCCACACTGGAGGATGCAAGGCAGGAAGCATGTCTCCAGGTGGCACCCCTGGGCCCCCCCCCACACACACACACATTCCCTTCTCAACTCCTTCCTGAGTCTTGGGGCAATGTTCCCAGACCTAGGGCAGTCGACCAGGCGGGCGTCACCAGGCAGCAGCCCCGAGGTGGTTTGGTGAGTCCAGGAACTGGAGCTGGGGGGTGGCAGAGGGAGGCACGCGGCTGGCAGCCCAGGGAGCCCTGCCTGTGCCGGGACCTCGCCACATACTCTGCTACTGACTTCACTTCCTGCCCAGCATCTGGAATCTGAGTTCCCCCACACGGCCGGAACGGGAACCAGGAAGGACAGGAAGATGGAGAAGGGCTAAGAAGAGGCTCCCCCACACCCCACTGATCTGGGGGGCGGGGCGGTGGAGCAGGGCTGGCAGCCTAGCAGAGAAAGTAGCAAATTCCTCCCCTTCTCCTTGGTCTGAAGCCCAAGCAACTGATTTTGATCAAAACAAAACAGCCTTGACACGGGGGCATTATTCAGACTTCAGTGGAACTGGCCCGGGCCGCCGGCGGCCGCTTTGGGTCCCAGCACACAGCTAGTGGAGATGTCAGATGTCAGGGCAGGCTAGCAGGGCCCGGGGTGGGGTCAGCAGGAGCTGGGGAGCTACAGGGAGGGGGTGATCAGAACATTTTTTTTTCAACTTAGGCAGCTTGACAGCAGATAAGTCCAATTGGCTACTGAGCCGAGCTCAGGCCTGTCAGCACCCAGACGCCCTTCCCTGCTGCACCAGGAAAGCTTTTGTGCACAGCCAGGGGAGCCCCACACTCAGTGAAGCCCCACCACTGACACTCAGCTCACCCCATTCCTGAGCAGTTCTGCTTCCCTGGTGACTAGGGCTTCTTCAGAGAAACCCTTCGACCCCACCAAGCCCAGTCTAGGTCTAGTGATTGGGACCCCTGGAGCCAACCAGGCTTTTCCTTCCAAAACCCCATTCGACAGCAAAAACTTCACATGAGACTGGAGGGCAGGGTCATCAAAAAATGAATCAAGAATCTACGAGGCTCCTTGTTACACTCAAATAGAAAACTCCCCCAGTGCAGCCCCATCTCAGTTCTGTTCCAAGGGACGGCACGTCGAGGGGTGCATCTGGCAAACCCCTCTTCCTTCCAAGTGGCCTGGCTCAGCTGCAAAGGGACCATGAGGCCAGGGACCAGGCGCAGAGACGGCAGAGCAGAGGAGTCCTGCACTTAAAGCTCCTAGCGTGCCATCACTGGGCCTGGCGCCGGAAGCGTGCACACAGCCGGGGCTCGTGAGCTGGCACAAGCCAGCTCCGGCTTATCGCTGACCATCCGACCCGGGCAGCCTGGACCGACTTGCATCCCAGCTCCAGCACGTATTAGCACCGGCGGGAAGCCAAGTCACTTCCCCTCCCAGTCTCAGATTCCTCATCTACAAGGGGAGTGACCACCTGCCCTCCTGGCTGACCGTCTGCAGTCTGCGGAGGCCCCAGCACCCTGCAGACAGACGGTGCGGGGCAGGGGAGGGCGTGTATGTGCGTGTGGACGCCCAGCTGTCCCACCAAGACGGAAACCAGTGTGACTGGATCCACGGCCTGATCAAGAACTCTCTGGCCCCCAACAGGCTCCCAGGGCCCCCATTTCTGAAAACTTTGCACAACTTCCCAAACTACAAATGTTGGCCAAAGTCCTCTGTGGGCTACTGGCAGCCCAGACCAGTCGGGCCACTCTCCCCCAGTAATCTGGCAGACCCACGCGGCCCCCGAGGCTGGGGCTGTGGGACTCACAGCTGGTTAAACATGCGCTTCATCTCATCCGTGATGTTCATGGAGCCGACCTCGTCGTCTGGGAACCGGGTCACCTCTCCGTCCTGCTCGGAGTTGTCATCGTCGGAGGCCACCTTCTTCTCTTTCTTTTTGGGGACCACCTGGCCCGGAAGGGAAGAGATCAAGGTCACTGGGAGGCTCTGCTGGGAGGGAGGGCAGCGTGGGCTGGGGAGGGAGGCGGCACCCCCCAGATGGGCAGAGCGTGGCCGGCCAGCCACTGCCAGGCAGGGTGCACGGGCCCTCTAAGAAGCTGGCGAGTTAGCAGGAAGCGTGAGGTTGACAGCCATGCAGGACAGGGGACACAGACAGCCCAGGCCCACCCCTGGGGGGCTGACACAGCCTCTCCTTTGTCAGAGAAGCAGCCCCACGACTGGGCTAGAGAAGAGGGCCTCACTGGGGTGCAGTCCCCTGGGTTGCCTCAGAACAAGCCAGAGAAAGGAGAACCCGCGTTTCCCTCCTGCTCACTGGCCAAGTCAGCAGGCGTGTGGCCCACGGCTCACCGAGCTGCCGCCACTCCAAGTGCCAAGACACGAGCAAACCAAACCTCTAGCAGGTGCAGATGGCAGCCCCCGCTTGCCAGCAGAGGGGCAGCGAGAAGGCAGAGGTGGCCCGAGGCCCGGGAAGGGGAAGGCGCCCCCTGCTACATCCAAAGTCACACACAGAAAGAAACGCCACGCCATAGTGACCCAGTTCCAGCAAAAGCCACACCAGACCCCAAACTCAGACAGAGACACACGCCCCGCGGTCGGCCGGACTAGCCCCCGCGGCCGCTGTCAGCCGACGCCTTCTCTGGGGACACACTTATTTGTCGGGGGCAGTGCGTGGGGGTGGGAGGCGTTCTGGAGGCTTTGGTAGGAGTGAAAAGTCGCGAGAGGCCAAGCGCTGCCCCTCACAGTGCTGAGTGCATCTGCAAGACTCAGGCCGCTCGGCCAGGGCTCCCGCGGCCTGCTGGTCCCTGCGGCCACCGTCAGCCCCCGTGAGCGGTCCATCAGCCACCGGGTGAGGCTCTCAGGGCCGAGGGAGGAGTCAGACGAACCTGAGTCTAGCGTCCCTGGCTCTGTGTTTTCTCGGGGGGCATTGCTTCTAGGGGGAGGAGTGTGAGGGAAGTAGGGGCCGGTGGGGGGGGTGGTCGAGCAGGGCCGGCTGCCCCAGGAGGCTGGAGGTGGCCGGTGAGCAGGGTGGCCCTAGTCACCTGGAAGATCTTGGACACGTCTTCCGAGTTCCGCTGCTGTGCGACATCGCACAGCTTGGCCGTGATATCGATTCGGCGGCAGATGTCCATGTCCACCTTCATGGCCTTTTCTTGGATCTTTGTGTCCAGGTCTGTCATGGGCTGCAGGGAGGACAGCAGGGGGTTACGTGAGCAAGGGACTGAGCAAGCACGGAGGGTGGGGATGGCAGTGCCCCAGGCTCCTGCTGGGCAGGGAGGCAGGAGGCCCCTCAGTGTTGGGGGCGAGAACCCCAGAGTTCACGGGGTGGAGGGGGGCGCCTTGAGCTTCTCCTGGGGGTGAAGAGCGGGGCCAGTGCTGCTCGGGGCAGGGCGACGGGGGGGTGTGGGGTCAGGGTGGCTGACAGCTTCAGGCCGAGTGGAGCACGTGAGGCCATGTCTGTGGCTCTCCCTAAGGGCTGAGGCCTCTTCTCAGCAGACAGTGTTGGTGTTCATGAGCAAGGAAAAAAAGACAACCCCGCTGTTGACAGACACCTCTTCTTCCTGCCCCACGCCCCCGCACAGATGCCTGCTTGCCAAGGCACGTTCGCTCTCAGGGAGTCTACCCACACTGACACGGGGGGCTTGCGCAGGTCAAGGGGTCCCCTGGATCTCAGCCTCACACCTCTCAGAACCAGGAGCCAGGCTCCCCCTCTTCCCAGCACATACTGCCTGCCGTTGGGAGGTGGCAGGAAACCAGGGTCCCCAACAGGAGGGAGCTCTCTGCTGAGGACAGCTCCCGCACCGCAGTTACCAGAGTGGCTCTGACCATGGGAAGGACGCACACACTGGCCTTCCCCCACCTACAAGGCCACCTGCTGAGGGCACTGGCCTGGGAGCCTTGCAAAGCCTCCCGACCTGCCTTCCGCCCCCAACTGCCCTGACCCCGCGGCCTCGGCCACCACCAGCTCTCCTCCTGGCGAGCCGGGAAGCAGGCGAACGCGCGCACACGGACCGGGAGCGCCCGCAGGGCGGGTTAAGCGGCAGATTAATGCATCTCTGCTCAGACCAGGGGAAGCGGAAGTGGGCGGGGCGGGGAGGGCTGCCTCGATGCATCCGTCATCCTCAGGGTCAAATGCAGCCAGCCAGGACTCTAACTAGAAGCCAGCTCTGGAGCCTCGGAGTAAATGCAGCGTTTGCATGATGGGTGTGGGGGAGCATCGTGGCGCCTGGCGCGGAGGGGGCGGGTGGAGGGGGGGCGACGGCACTTACATCACTCATGAGCCCCTTAAACACCACCAGCTCCGCCTTGAGCCGCTCTATCTTCTCATTCATCTCCTCCTGGATGGCTTCGGCCTCCTGTGCTGCCTGTAGCACAGAGACGGGGCAAGGTTGAGGGGAGCCCAGGCACCCTGCGGGATTGCTCTGCACCCTACATGAGGTCTGGCCAGCTGGGGTACCTGAGCGTCAGGAAAGGGGTGCTAAGGACCTTGCTTTAAAACACTTCTCAAGGGGTGATTTAGTGAATGGAGAAATCCATGGCAGAGAGGAAGAGAGAAAGGTTAATGCAACAAGTGACCCTGACTGGTTGGAATTCTAGAATGGGCAAGCGCCAATTGCTGGCCATCTCATCTCAGGTGTGCAGCTTAACCAAACGCGCACGTCTCCAGGTGTGCGTGTCTGCAGAGGACACAGGCAACTGTGGAGGGGACACCTGGGGGAAACTTCTCTTTCCTTCATTGTGCTTCTCTGAGGCTTCCGAATATTTTTGTAAAATAAAAAGCACCTTTGTTATTGAAGAATGGGGGGGGGCAGTCACGCTTTTCCTTCTGCATATGGGCATTATATATCCTCCCTCTGACTTAAAAGAGAAACACTTTCAATATCAGAAAGCAATTTTTTTTTTAAGATTTGACAGAACTTTCCACACCTTCTTGGCGAGTGGGGAGGGGGCTGCGTCCACTTAGCTGAGAAGAAAACAGAGGCCTACAAGGTGACCCTTACAGAGTCCACGGCATGCAGGTGACAGAGGGTCCAGAACAGAGCGTCCAGAGCCAGAGCAGCACCAGCCATGGAGAGCCCACCGGGCTGGGAGCTCACCTGGTCCCACCTCTCCAGGCCCGCAAGTCAGTTTCTTCAAACTGGGGGAAGGGGGGGCTTAGACATCTCCAGTGCAAGCCTCAGGTGGGGAGCAAGGGGCTGTGGGGGCCACTAGCCCCCAGGACCCCAGTTAGCACTGGAACTTGAAACCCCTCTGGCTCTGAAGCACAGGAAGGGACACAGAGTGGACTGCGCTGGCGGCTGCCCCCAGCTCCGCGCTGTGAACACTGCCCTCGGTCGCCTGCGTCCGCTGCAAGTCCCTGCTGGTGACGCCTCTGGGCTCTTACCTCCTGGAGCGTGTCCACCACGGTCTGCAGGTTCAGGCGCTTGGCGAGCTCCTCCTCCCATCTGCAAAAGCCAACAGAGGCAGGTGGTCATTGGGAGCTGCACAGCCTCAGTCCAGCCTCACACACAGGCCAGCACCCACCCTGGCCCATCCCAGATGGGGGACCCACTGCTGCCTGGCCTCCAGGAGCCCCCAATCTAGGGAGGTGGCACAAAACCATTACACCAGTTGTTGGTGACACAAGCCATGTGCCTGGCATGGTCACAGCACCAAGCGGGGTGTGGGGAGAGACACCCCACCCCTTCACGCAAACATTAGCGTGCGGCTGCCGGCTGTTAGTGCAGGACATGGTGGAGGGGCTGGTCCCAGGGCCATGTTAGGACTCTCATATGGCTTTCCTGGGCTGATCCTACAATCCCGTGGGCAGCGACCCCACCGTCACCGTCACAGATGCCACCTACATAGCATCATCAGCCTTGTCTTATGGAGGAGGAGACTGACGCTCAGAGAAGCTAACCGTTTCACCCGAAAGCACACAGCTCGTGGTGGGGCTGGGATTCCAACCCAAGTCTGTTTTATTACATTAAAAAAACAGTGGGGCCCTCCCTGGTGGTGCACAGCACTATGAACCTGGCTGCAGCTGCTTCAGTGCGAGGTCGATCCCCGGCCCGGGAGGCGGCCCACTGGCGCAGCAGACCTCTCCTGTCTCACCCGCTGCTCCTCTCAGCAGTGTGCTTCAGCACTCTGTCTCTGGTGAACCCTCTCACCCACCCCCCACCTCTGGCCTGTACCCCAGTTCTGTATGCATGAATAAATAAATCTTTAAAATAAAAAAAGCAAAACAGTGACTACAGCACTCGCTTATTTTACATTTATTATGTGGCAGGTCCTATTCCAGAAGCTTCACAGGTCACTGTGTCATCTGGGCACATGTTGGACAGGAGAAGACGGGGGGAAAGGCATGCCAGGCTCCAGGGGTACCCCAGCACTGCCTGGAGGAAGGAGTGGGATAACTAGCCAGTTGCCTTAATAGCACCAGATCACCTCAACTGAGCCCTGTGTACCAGGAAGCCTTCGACAGCCCCATACCCCGATGACAGGGAGGAAGGAGGCGCGCAGGCAGTGCCCAAGGTCAGGCAGGCAGGGTCAGGCACCCGTGGGGACTCAGCCTGCCAGGCTCCCAGCCCCGTTCCCAGCTGGAGGAAGTGGCGAGGGGGTGGGGGGAGGCGGGTGAGCTTGCTCCCCTTTCTCCATCCAGGGACACACAACTTCTCTCCTTCCTCACCCCACGGCCACCTCCCTACATGGCCTCGGAGCTTGGAGGTCTGGAGCCTTTTAGGATGCTGCCGGCCAGCTAAAAATAGGCCAGAGGGGAGAAATGGAGGAAGAGTCCATTACATCATCCGCTTTGGGAAACAAGAGAAAACGGATACTGTTTGCACACAGAGGAAAATTCCTCCCTCCCACACGAGTCAGTCGGCCCTGGCCGGGGTGCAGGAGTGTGCACTCTGCCTTGCCCCACACACTCTCCCTCGCCAGTTCCCACGTCTTCACCAGCCCCCGCTGCCAGGGCCAGAGCTGCTGTGCAGACAGGGACGCAGCAGGCAGGGGCCGGGGCTCCTGCAGAAGTCAGAGACACAGAAGAAGCCGTGGCGGGCGGAGAGGGGATGGAGGCCAGGGCCAGGCGACTTCGCACCGAAAACCTTCATTCTACAGCTACAGCCAGGCCTAGAGAGCACTGGGAACTGGCCGGGCAGGGCTACGAGTCCATCCTGGAGGGGACAGGACACCCTCTCCTCCCGCCCAGCAGCAGGAACCACGGAGAGAGGCCAAGCCCTGAACACGAGTCTCGAACCAGCTCTCCATGCTGCTCTGCGGGCCAGGGACTCGGTTCCCAGGCCACCGACGGAGCAGGGGCCGGCAAAGCCAGGCAGGGGCTGGCCACGACGCACTGCTGGGCCTTGTAGCACACAGCAGGCGCCGCAGAGAAGGGGGGCCGGCAGCTAAGACGCAGGACTGGGTGCATGTCACCCCACGCACGCATCTCCCAGACGGGCTCTCGGGAATGGGGCTCCACCGCGCACACACACACACACACCCGCTTTCCTTGGAGCAACATTCTCATGAGGAAAGTGGCAAAGAGGCCAACAGCGCCATCACACAGATGGGAAAACGGGGCTCCGAGAGGGAGTGCAGCTTGCTAGCGCCAGCCTGCAGAGAGCCGTCTTTGGAGCTCCGAGCAGCTGGGGCCCCGGCGAGGGCTCCGGGCGGCCTACCCCGCTCCCCGGGGTCGCTGTCCATTACTAACGCTCTGGTAAAGACTTTTTCCCAGACCCATCTTGGAGAAGAGAGAACTGAAGTCAGAGGCGCGAGGCAGCTTGCCTAGCTTAGGCAGCAGGGGCGGGACTGAAGCCTCAAACCGGGGTGTGCGGGCAGATCTCCAGGGACCCCGGTCACATGCAGGTGGATTCAGCGGGGGTGGGGTGGGGTGGGCGCTGCAGATGGCACCGAGGGTCCACGCCGCGCCTGTGGGTGATTTCAGGGGCCTTTTATTTCCAAAGCCGACAGCAGGCAGCCTGCACGTCTGCTCCCAGGAGGCCGAGGACGACCCTGGGCGTGCACAGCAGCTGGCCTGGCAGATCGAGTCTGCGGGCCACGCTCAGGTCCCTGCCAGTGCCGCAGGAAGACCTGGCTCTGTCGGCTCTGATGTTGACAGTGCAGAAAAGCTCTGCCCTTCAGCTGCCACGGCTGACGGGAGAGAGGGCGGGCAGGCGGTGTGTTTCTGAGGCGCCTCAGACGCCCCACATTCACTGCCACGTCCAGGGCAGGAAGCAGGCAGCTTAGCCGGGAACTGGTCAGCCGAGTTGTGAGCTCTGAAATTTCAACACCGGTCTCCCAGGCGCGGTCCCCTCCCTGACCTGGATCTGCCCACAGGAGTCGGGTTTCGGCTGAGGGACACAGAGACAGAGCACAGAGACAGAGCGGGCAGTTGCCACAGAGAAAGGTGTGTGTGGGGTGGGGGGGCAGAGCCAGGGGTCGGGGATGCCACGCCCCTCAGGCTATGGGGCCTGACTCTCAGGCCCCGCAAGCCAGAGTCTGACACTTGAGCAAGAGGGCGGTTAGGAAACGGGAAGGCTGAATTCAAGCCAGGTCTGCCCAAACCGGACCCTGGGGCTCAGTCCAGTTTGGGGGCTGCAAGAGAAGCCGAGACTGGAAATCGGGAGGCGGGGGCCACACTTAAGACGGCGTTCGGGGGCTTGAGAGTACATCCCCTCACGTCCCCTCTGTGGTCCGGCCGCTGTTCTGTCAGTAAAGGAGGGGTCCCCCTGGACAAAGGACCCCAGGCTCACGAGGGCCTCTCCTGGAGGACGCCGGACTGCCTGCTGTCTGGCTCTGGAAATAAAGGGTCCATGAAATCGCTGTGGAAGATTGTCCGCTGGGGTGCAGTTCAGGGACATGGGCATGGCGTGGGGCCCTCGGTGTGGACTGGGGGGAGGCTTATCAGCCACCTCCTGTGGGTGGCGAGGGTGGGGCGTAGGTACACCTGCTCCACCCACCGGGCTACAGAGCCACAGAGAAAGCCCCTCCCCACGGCACAGGTGGGGAAATGGGGGGCCAAGGGCGGAGAAGGAACCAGGGCCAGCGTGGCCTGGAGCACCCCACGCCTCCCTGCCCACCTGCTCGCAAATTCTCCTCCCTTGAGGCATTGGCTAAGAGAAGGGAGAGGACACTGACTGGTCACTCTCTCAGTGTGGCCACCTTTACCAAGGTAGGCAGAGTGATATATAAATACACGGTCTAAACACCACTCCCTGGGACTGTCCACATTTGCAGATGGAAAGACAAGCTCAGAAGTTGCCCCTTCCCCGTCCCCCCTCCCCCTCCTCCTCCCGAGAATCTCTTCATTCTCCCAGGAGTGCCCTAAGCGGCTTCTCTTTCCCAGGCCTCAGCACTCAGTTCAGTCCTCTCCCTCCTTCCACGGCGCTCCAGCTTGAGGCTGCTCAGCCTGTCTTGCCAGGAACCTTGGCTGAGGCGGAACCTCACACCACACCTTCTCTTGCTCCCCACTAGCTCCCCTAAACGTCCTTTCTCTTCCCCAGTCTGCAGGCCACCTCATGTGCATCCCAGCCCCTCAGCCCACGCTGTGCTGTGCGCAGCGGCTTCTGAAGCAGGTTGGGTAACGATGGCGATGGCCAGGAGGGGAGGGGAGGGCAGGGGCGGCCACGTATTCCCGCCTTAAGTGCATGGCCATGTTTAGTGCCACGTGACCTGGAGGTAGCCTCATTCTCTACCTGGTGAAGAAGCTGCCTTCCCGAACCATCAAGCACCTCACCTACCAAGAGCACAGCTAGGAAAGTGTGGTTTCTATTTTCCAAAGGAGACCCCCAAAAGTGAAGGTACCGCCTGGCCCGGGGCCGTCCACGAGCCTGAGTTCCCAGCACTGACTCTGCTCCCCGCTGTTCAGTCCATTTGGCTCCAGAGCCTCTCTGGGGAGAGGCCTGGCCAGGGGCTGGCGAGAGCAGGGGAAGGAGAAGCCCTCCCACTCCCACTTCCCACAGCCTGCAGGCCAGGCGGGGGAGGGGAGTCGGGACAATTAGGGATAA